AAGTTCATTCTTTCGAAAGCGGTCTGGAATAGAATGTTCACAGCACTTCCGTTGTCCACAAGCATTCTGCGGACGTTATTGCGCCCTATGAGGGGCGTGATCACAAGGGCATCGTCGTGAAGATGATACAAACGAGCTGCCTCCTTCTCGTGAAAGGCGATTGGCTCCTCCTTTCAAGCTTTTCGTGGTTGCTACGATGTGTTCATCACCTTGATCGGGTCGTGATGAGCTTCATGAGCGTACCTTTCCTGCGCACCCTGTGTGTTTCCTGCGAGGTGCGGTCCTCCAAAGATTATGTTAACGCTACTATACCCTCTGCGATCACGATGTTTTCTCCCTTGTTCCTCTTGACTCTTCTCTTTTGTAGGAGCGGAGTCATCAATATACTCCTTGAAGTGCCCTTTCTTGATGAGCTCTTCGATTGCTTGCTTTAGAGCTTGACATTCATCTGTATGATCCCCGTTGTCCCGATGGAAGCGACAGTATTTTTTGTTATTTCTGGCTGTCGTAGGAGTTTTCATGGGTTCTGGCTCACCGAGTAGACTGGCCTCCTCGGATTTATCAAGAATGGCCGATACAGATACATTCAGTGGAGTTTATTGAATTCTGTCACGGTCGTGACGAGGAACAGGAGCATAGGATTTTTTGTCCTTATAGTGGGGTTTTTTCCCTTTTCGCTGATCGTCAGCATCCCCTCTGCGATCAGCTCTTCTACTATCCCCCCGACCAGACATACTGCTCGATGCGCCGGGGTCGCGACCGCGGAGTGCCGCCAACGAATTTTCTATTCGGAGGTACTTCTTCGCAAGGTTGTAGAATCCTGTGAGGGAGACATCGTCCTCAGCTTGTAATTCTTTCCACAGGTCGGTTTGTGGGCGAACCCCACTATGATGAGAGTCCGAACAGACTCTTCGGGAGTATGAGCCACCTTGTTAAGTTCTCTATGGAAGCGGTCAATGTAAGACTGGAGGGACTCATCCCTTTCTTGCCTGATATTGCTGAGGTAGCTCAAAGGCATCGAAAACTTCCGATTCGCTTGGAAATGCCTTAGGAACATCGTACTCATCTGAGGCCACGAACTGATCGACCCCGCTAGGAGCGACCTAAACCATCGTTTGGCATGAGAGGTCAATGTCACTGCTAAACAGCGGTATTTTGCCAAGTCTGAGACCTGGTGAAGCTCCATTAGGTCGTTCAATTCATACAGATGATCCTGCGGATCAGAATTTCCATCAAACGCCTGCATGTCGAGCATTCTGAATCCTGGTGGGTGTGGAGTGGCTAACACTTCGGGAGAGAAGGGAGACACAGATGCGACCTGTCCCTGCTCATTTTGCTGAGCCCTTAGCCTGTCTAGAGCTCGCTACAGCTCCTCAATTTGCAGCAACGGAGCCGCTTGGGGGTTGCTTTCACCCACTCGAGCTTGATTCTCGCGGTTACGATTGAGGAATGTCTGGAGGTCGGGCTCTTCTTCGCCTCGGCTGGCGGTTCCAGCCACTCTCGACACACGCTGACTAGAGGCGTGCGATGGTGATGAAAGATGCGGGGTATTCTCATGACCTTCGCGGTGGTAAGAACCGCCCCGCAAAGTGTGGGACCCTCTCGCACGGTGACGACCAGGATTGGTTTGCTGACGGTGATAAGAATCACCCCGTCCAGCACTTTTATGGGTGTGTACCTATGACGTGGCATGGGACAGCTCAGGCTGCGTCTTTTCACCGAGTCTCAACGAGACTGGTGTTCTGTTTGGGACACAGTCGGTGTTTGTTGGCCCTTTGGAGCCCGTGGGCTTGCTTTTTGCCACTTGCTTACCCTTTCGTCTTCACGCTGCAGTGCTCACAGCACGGGCTATTTCCCTTTGTCGCGCTTTCGCATGACCTGCAGGCGTTTTTGGCGGTTGTACCGCCACAGCTGACTTAGATGGCGCGCCTTGGTCCAAGCGGTCCAACCTTTGGTTGACCGTCTAGAGAGTATTGTCAAACCTCTCCAGGTAGCTTCTTATAGCGGGGTCAAACTGTGAGCTTGACGGGATATCTCCCACAGCATTCTGCGAGGCTGAAGGTTTTCTGGAAGAAGTATCCCCCTGAACTTGGGGGGACCCCTCAATGCCCTGGTTGGTTTGGTCATGTTCTGGTTGGCGGGCCATTCGTTGCTGTAGGACTGGTAAGTTGGAGATTCTCCTGATGAAGGATGAACACCAAATCAGGCCCTCCTTCTAGCGCCAAACTGTTGATGCGTGATTTTGCACCAACGAAACGCACGTGTGAAATGCCCAGAAGTCACACGTGAATGTAATGGATAAAGAGATAGTAAATGCAATGGGGATAGTTTTTAAAGTGGTTCGGATGCTAAGGTAGCAAGTCCTACGTCCACTAATGCTTATATTGATGATAAGGGTCAGGTCGCTATTAGCTGACTGACTTTACAATGATATTACAAGGTATCAAATGCTCAGAATTCTAAAGAGAGAGAGAGAGTAATTAATCAAGAGTAAAAATGTGTGAATCCCTTTAATAAGAGATGAATTCCCAATTTATAATCAGATGCCATGAGGCAATGATCACTAAATCTTTAAGTTGGTGGGATTATCCGTGCAAATCCTTCTTTATGTCACATTGCCCACCTTCCAGAGTGATTTGCGCGATTTAGATCAGGGATTGGACACTTGGGAACACCACAGCTTCCTGACTTGCCTGACGCGCACCCACTATCATGACAGACGCAGACGGTGGTTGTTCCAATGATCTGACCTTTGTGGGCTAAATGGTCCTGACGTCAGCCCTTGTATTTTTAGGCATAACACCTATTAACTTCTTCTCGGAGATTATCAAAGTTGGTATTGTAATTGTACAAGTACGTAAATCGACGCCCAATCGGAGCAGCCAACCACTTGCTAACTTGGAGAACAACACCCAAGACACTCGAAATATTCCCGACAGGTTCCACCATTTCAACCCTTTTTCAAGTTTGAAAAATAGAAGACAACGAAAGAAAATGAAAATAAAACAGAAATAATAACAGGACAACTAGGGTGCAAACTCAACTAACAGAACAAGAATATGGAAAAATGTTAGAAGATGTATATATATAATTTTTTGTAAACGAGAAATAGGAAAAAAGGATTTTTATTTTTTTCTTTAAAAAATAAAAAAGGGAGCTCGTAAGCTCGAGAGCTGACTCGAGCTCGACTCAAAATCAATCGAGCTCGAGTTCGAGTCACAATTCCCAGGCTCGTCTGGCTCGAGCTCGAACTCGAGCTTGACCCTGTAGTAAAGGAGCCAAGCTCGATAAGTCGAAAACTCGACTCGTTTACAGTCCTACGTGTTATCATTAGATGAAATGGCAATTAGGGTAAATATATATTACATATTAGTTAACTTTTGTGTTATGGTTTAAAATTAGATTTTCAAAGTAAAAAGGAAAAAAATATATAATATGAGGTAATCTGATAATTAATGAAATGAATTAAGCAAATAATACGCGAATAGATTAGAGCATCACGCATTGAGTTTTAATTAAATGATGGGAGTTGAACGTTGTTTGCATGAATTGGTTGCGTGATTGAGAAAGAGTTTTGAGTTCTGTCTCTAGCGAATTCCACTTTGTAACAGACATAACTAAACTACATGTGGACACTTCCTGTAACGCAACTTCTAATTTGAAGCTTTCCAATTTTTATTATTTTTTTAGTTTATAAAAATGATTTCCTAAATCTTACTCAAAAAGATTATATTAACTCAATAATATTATCATCTCGATATTATATTTGATTAAATATAATTTGATTGTTGTAATAGAAAGATTATATTAATTCAATAATATTATCATCTTGGTATTTTATTTATTAAATATAATTTGATCGTTGTACATAGAGATTACAATCACAGACAGGCGTCACAAACCCATTCATAGATGAGTGAAGGCTCATAATCCCACTTACAAAGAAATTTATTAATATTTGTTTTTTTTTTTTTTTTTAATTTTGATATAATTCACTTTGTAAATTTATCCCACCCATGTAGAAGTAAAATCAATTTTTTATTGTTTATTAAATAAATAAATTTATGTTTGTTCAAGAAGATAAGTATTTTATTAATTGTTTTTATCAATTAGAAGTCAAAAAGAAAATGTAAATAAACTATTTCTTGGCCCCTAATGTCATTTTTATCATAAAATTTATATTATTTATATTAAACTTGCCCTCTCTAACATTAAATTTTGGGTCCATCCCTTATTACAATTTGTTTTATAAGAATTCATATGATCGTGTACATATTAAATATGAAAACCCTTATAAATTATGATATTATAAAAAAAATTGATAATACAATTTACGTTATATAGAATAATTAGAGAAAGGAAAAGAAAAATAATTAAATATGATATCCAGATAAGGATAATCAATAACTCTGAGTAGATGAAACTTTTCTTTTAACTTTAATTACTTAAAAATCTGCTTAATTATAATCAATTATAATTATGTACTGTTTATTGTAGTTAACTATCTTTAGGTGACTGAGTGGTTCAATTAGAACTTTTGAGTGTATTACTCAAGAGGTTCTGAGTTTGAGTTCCTCCTTGGTTGTTAATAGGAGTAACTACTGGAACTCTTACCCGGTCGATAATTCTAGGTCCTAGATGATGAGGTGAGCGTAAACTGACCTGAACACCCTAATTATAAAAAAAAAAAAAGAATTTTCCTTATTCGTCCCTCCAATGTAGAAATGAGTATATATGCAAAGGAAAAAGAAAAAATGAAATCAGCTCGAGGGACTTCAACTTCTATATACATATATTTATATATGTATTTAATAAAATTTTGATTATGTTTACATTCATCATAAAAACTAATAAAATATTTAAATATAATAAACTTTTAGACGATGTATATACGAAAATTCTTAGCTGTCAACCTAGGAATTATTCTCCCCTTCTTGATCTCTACAAATATTTTCTATATATAAAATCTTTCATTCTCATCAATCTCCTTCATAACAAAAATGTCTTACTCTCACCCTATTCACCAAGCTAATGAAAACAGCCCATATGGAGATCTCACCAGAGAACAATTCTACAAGAAACATCAAATCCTTCATCAACAAACCTTCATGCTCAACAGAAAGAACATGAAAATCTTCACTCAGTCTTGGCGCCCCGATTCCTCCACCCACCTCAAAGGCCTCGTCGCCATGGTGCACGGCTATGCCTCCGATAGCGGCTGGCTGTTTGAGCTGACCGCCGTCGCCATTGCCAAAGCCGGCTTCTTAGTTTGTGCGCTCGACCTCCAAGGCCACGGCTGCTCCGATGGGGCACCTGGTCACATCCCAAAAATTCAATACATCGTTCGAGATTGCATAGCTTTTTTCGACTCTATGAAAGCTAAAAACCCTAAGTTGCCTTCATTTCTGTACGGCGAATCGCTTGGAGGTGCAATTTCGGTTCTTATTTGTTTAGAACAAAAATATGAATGGGATGGTTTGATTTTGAGTGGTTCAATGTGTGGTATTTCACCAAAGTTCAAGCCAATATGGCCCTTGGAGAAGCTCCTCCCTCTGGCTGCATTATTTGCACCATCTTGGAAAACAGTGGCCTCAAAGCCGGTGGCTAGCAAGTTATATAAGGAGGAGTGGAAGAGGAGACTGGTGGCGAGAAACCCTAATCGGCGGACGTCCGGGAAGCCGCCAGCTGCGACTGCAATGGAGTTTTTGAGGGTTTGTGAGTATATAAAGATGCATTGCCATGAGCTTGAGGTTCCATTTATAATGTTGCATGGAGAGGATGATACAGTTTGTGATTATGAATCTGCTAGGTTTGTTTATAAATCAGCTGTAAGTGAGGACAAAACTTTGAAAATTTTCTCGGGAATGTGGCATATTTTGGTGGGGGAGACTGAGGAGAACGTGGAGATTGTGTTTGGGAATGTGCTTTCATGGATGGAAGAGAGAGCAGCCAAAGCTAAAGCCAGAATGAAGTAACTAATTTCTTAGGTTTATTTGTTATATATTATTTAATGTTTGTATTTAAAAGAAAATGAAAATAATTTGTATGAATATGTAACAGCATGCATTAGGAAATGTGATTTTCCTATTTGCAGTTCATGTTCAAATAATTAGTTGAATTTTCACTATTATCAAAAGCTAAATTATAAGTTGAAGAGGTTTGTATTAAATAAGAAAAAAATGGTTTAGAAAATGTTCAAGATCGATGATGCACTACCCATTTGTTAAAAATATGAATTAAAATAAGTAAAAATATTAAGTTTTACAATAAGAATCGAGGTTACTAATTATTGGTGTTTGTTTAATTAATTAACAAGTTATATGAGTTGACATTCAAATAACTATCTTCTTGCAAATCAATTTGATAACATGATTGTACTAATAGTTTCATGTGGAGGCTTAAGACTAATTTTTGTAAATAAAATTAAGACTAAACGACTTTTTCCGACCCAAGTTTTGCCTAATGACACTTTTCCACCCAAAAAATTTCAAAATACTACTTTTCCACCCAAAGTTAATATTCCGTTATTTTCCAAAGTCGATTTCGACGGCGAAAATTCTTTCTATCACCGCCATTTGAATTCTTAATCTCCTCTCTACAAAACCCCTCTCACTCAGATACTTAATTTCTCGCTGATTGTTAGCCACCGTAACGCTAAGGTTTCCTGTTCTTAACTGATTTTTGACTGATTCTAATAATGAATATTCAATCAATCACTACTATTCGATCCACTGACCTCCACACTACAAAAACCCTCTTACCTTAACTCTTAGTAACTTGCCGAATGTTGACTATGAAAGTGAAGTGTATTTTGGATATTAACAGAATATAAACATTGGGTGAAAAAGTTATATTTTGAAACTTTTTGAGTAAAAAATCTGTTTATTCATAAAAATAATTGTTGATACATGAGTCATAGATAAAAGAACTTGCTCATCCAATTCAAATTCATCTTCTCATAAATGAAAAAGCGTCAACAAATGTTCCTTAATCCTTACTTAACCCTTTAAATGAAACCAATCCTACTTAATTAATCCATACATAAAACTTATTTATACAAATGAAAAATAAAAAATTAATTGAAATATATCACATAGCAATCGTGATAGATACCAGATTTTTCTATTTGTTTTAATTTTAGCCGCTGTTGGATAAGTGTTAATTGAGTCATGCATTTATACATAATTTGTAGGAATTTAGTTTTATTATGAACGTTAAGAGTTATTGTGTAAATAAGAGTCCTGCAGTGATTACAAGGCAGGCAGTTAGCGTATTAATAAAATCTGGGAGGTTTTGGTTCCCTTGAAGCAGCCAAACTTACGTTTCAGTGATAGGTCCAAAAGGCAAGAAAACCTCTTTTGAAAGATCCTGCAGTCTGTATATTCCAAGCTCACCTTAAAATCGGGGTTATCAGAGATTGCTAGGCAGGGATTTGAGGTGAGACATAACTTCTCTTTGAACTTGATCCCTTCTTATTTTCCCAGTTGTGGTGAGTGGAAATGGCTTACTCCATATGACAAATACTTTTGGTATTTTAAACCTGAAGGAGGAAAATTTAAATAGTAAATAATCCATGAATTTTCAATTCCTCCACATGCTGATTCTGGATAGACATGAAATAGAGGATTCTCTGCCCTCAAGATGAAACATAATTTAGAAGAAAATACCCGGTTAAATTATTTTCTAGGCAATGTTGTCTGAGAACTTCACTGGATAAATATAGCTGCTTATTTTCAGCAGGTTGCTCACTTTTTTTATCAGACCATTGCCGATTTTCTCTTAATTTGACACATGCAACCACCATCTCTGTCAGGCGGGTATCTGGGATTCCCACGACAAGGACTGCAATAACTCCTTGATGTCGTAATAGGATTGTCTCTATCTATTGTCAGAAAAAATTTACATTTCAGATCTTGAAAAATGACCAGAAATTTCGTAAAGAGATCAATTAACAACATGAAGATTTACCTCTTCAGGATAAATATTCTCCCCTCCACTCTTGATACGACCACTTCTTCGTCCAATTAGCCATACATTACCACAGTTATCGATGTGTCCAATGTCACCAGTGTCAAGCCAAGCCTCATCATCCGAGTCTGATGACTTTTCTGGATCATGATCCCAATATCTTTGCATTACATGTGGACCTCTTGTCAAAATTCTTCCGAAATTAGATGAGCCATCAATGCATATCTTTAATTCAATATGTGGTGCAGGCTTGCCAACACAAACACCTTGTGGTTGGTGAACGGAATTGCAATGTGTTTTACAGGATGTCTCCAGTAGCTGGCTGGGGGTTTCAATTGTAGGGTCATAGATGGTCGTGAAGGTTAGTGAAGAGCATGTCTCTGTCATCCCTGCATATAATACACAGAAAATATGAGCTAACAAGAGCAACCCACTACCAAATAGTGTAAGACAAGTTTGTAAGAAAAACAAGAATGTGTATATAATTCACTTTCAACAACTTCTATATACATACATGTTCTAATAAATTTAGACCATGCTCCCTAAGGGTGTTTAGTAAGACAAATTGAGTTAAGCTTTCTGGAACGTGCAGTGAGGATGAATGAAGTCCTACAAGCATTGTAAGTTTAAAATGCTCTACCTTATCTAAACTATTGTAAAGACACAGAAGTTCTCATTGCTTAGAGGGCAGAGCAAACAAGGCCCTAGGATTATCAATTAAATCCACTTTGGCATGAGTGCATATATTTAATGTATCAATTATACAGATTGTGGCCTCTAGAAGTCATTACGCACTGAAGTAGCTTCCAGATTCCAAACAACTACTACAGTGTTACCCCAAAGATAATTTTAAAGCACAATGTATTAGATCAACAGTGAAAGAAAAAAGTGGGACAAGCTAGACAAACCATAAGCTGAAAAAAGCTTAGCTTTAGGGAAATATTTGGCAGCATCTTTGATAAGCTCAACGGACAGACTCCCACCTCCATTTAGTATCTTCTTCACATTGTCCTTTCCCTTCCAAGTTTCCTTCTTCCTGACAAAAGTAAAATTATTAACAAAGGCAATCAACTACCTATTACAGATACAAAAACACCAGTATTATAACCTTTTGGTTCAAGCTGCGGGGGAACAATAACTATTTTAGAGTGGGAAATAGGTACAAGGCTTTAGAAGAGTATTCTAATAAATTACACTAGGCAGCAAGTAAAACATTACATAGATGATATAAAGGGTTGTGGGATGAAGAAAAAGGCTTAGAAGTATATATCTGCAAATTAGAAGTTTATATTCGTTCATGCCAAAACTTCAAGGAAAAACCATTTGTTTAGTAATGTGTACAGGTAAAAACATGATAAAATGCAATATTAAAGATAGTAGATCCATATTCTAAATTCAAACTACAGATTGTATGAAAAATAATGGATCAAATAACCAAAGACATTCTGAAACCTAGCACATCGTGATTGTTTCATGACTATTAGGATGCATTATTTACCTAATTAGGGTGATCAAATCTGCCATTATCGTGGGGACAGTGATTAGAGAAGTCACAGAGTGTTGTTCTATGGCTTCAACCGCCGACGTAGCTTCAAACTTGGGAAACAACACATGGCAACCTCCTACCATTAGCATGGCCATGGCTGAGGACAAACCACCAATGTGGCACAATGGAGCAGTATGCAAGTAAACCTGCAAATCCAACAGCATAAAGATGTAAAGGTCATCCTTGAGTTGTATCTACTGTTCAATCCTGCTCATATATGAAACTTCACTCAAGAAATTCTCAGCTCTTTATCCATCAGAATGATTACTTCATTGCAATATTCCTTCATTCATCCTAAATTTGAATATTTATTATATGAGGAAAGGCATACATCATCCTCACTGTAGCCAATGATGGCAATTTTTGCAAGAGATTGTACAACTAAAGCTGAATGGCTTATTGTAACTCCCTTCGGCCTTCCAGTGGTTCCTACAATAAAGAAACAATCAAGCCAAAATCCAATCTTCAAAGGTAGAATTTTGTGTGAGCTAAGGGCGTATGCGAGAAACTTGAAAGAAAATATCTAAAAGTCATGGCTTCACATTATACAGAATGGGTGCCACAATCTCTTCATTTGTGAACATCACATTTCATTATCCCTTCCCAACTTAGTTAAAAGTGATCCTAAGAAATTTTGAATGTTGCAAGCTGTTGAAACTTTGTATGTATGAACAGTGAGGTTCAGGCCATAGCAATGCTAGGAAGATCCTCAAATTCTTTTATTATTTATTAGTTTCTAATGAAGTCCTTTGACCAAAATAAAAAATAAAAAAGTAATAATAAAGAAAATACTTTGCATGCTACAGATGATTAGAGAAGTCTGTAGCTAAAGCGTATTGAAGACAGAACATTGGAGAAGTTAACACCATATGGAATTTATTTTGTATCTAACACTCGAATTTCCCATTTTTATAATAGAATGTTGTAAATTCATGTAGAAAATTCTTATTTGAACGTTAAGAGTTATTGTTAAATAAGAGTCCTGCAGTGATTACAAGGCAGGCAGTTAGGTATTAATAAAATCTGGGAGGTTTTGGTTCCCTGAGAGCAGCCAAACTTACGTTTCTGATAGGTCCAAAAGGCAAGAAACCTCTTTTGAAAGATCCTGCAGTCTGTATATTCCAGCTCACCTTAAAATCGGGTTATCAGAGATTGCTAGGCAGGATTTGAGGGGAGACATACTTCTCTTGAACTTGATCCCTTCTTATTTTCCCAGTTGTGGGGAGTGGAAATGGCTTACTCCATTGACAAATACTTTTGGTATTTTAAACCTGAAGGAGGAAAATTTAAATAGTAAATATCCATGAATTTTCAATTCCTCACATGCTGATTCTGGAAGACATGAAATATAGGATTCTTGCCCTCAAGATGAAATAATTTAGAAGAAAATACCCGGTTAAATTATTTTCTAGGCAATGTTGTCTGAGAACTTCACTGGATAAATATAGCTGCTTATTTCAGCAGGTTGTCACTTTGTTACAGACCCTTGCGATTTTCTCTTAATTTGACAAATGCAACCACCATCTCTGTCAGGCGGGTATCGGGATTCCCACAAAACGACGCATAACTCCTTGATGTCGGAATAGGATTGTCTCTATCTATTGTCAGAAAAAAATTTACATTTCAGATCTAAAATGCACAGAAATTTGTAAAGAGATCAATTAACAACATGAAGATTTACCTCTTCAGGTAAATGATTTATGCAAAGGAAAAAGAAAAAATGAAATCAGCTCGAGGGACTTCAACTTCTATATACATATATTTATATATGTATTTAATAAAATTTTGATTATGTTTACATTCATCATAAAAACTAATAAAATATTTAAATATAATAAACTTTTAGACGATATATATACGAAAATTCTTAGCTGTCAACCTAGGAATTATTCTCCCCTTCTTGATCTCTACAAATATTTTCTATATATAAAATCTTTCATTCTCATCAATCTCCTTCATAACAAAAATGTCTTACTCTCACCCTATTCACCAAGCTAATGAAAACAGCCCATATGGAGATCTCACCAGAGAACAATTCTACAAGAAACATCAAATCCTTCATCAACAAACCTTCATGCTCAACAGAAAGAACATGAAAATCTTCACTCAGTCTTGGCGCCCCGATTCCTCCACCCACCTCAAAGGCCTCGTCGCCATGGTGCACGGCTATGCCTCCGATAGCGGCTGGCTGTTTGAGCTGACCGCCGTCGCCATTGCCAAAGCCGGCTTCTTAGTTTGTGCGCTCGACCTCCAAGGCCACGGCTGCTCCGATGGGGCACCTGGTCACATCCCAAAAATTCAATACATCGTTCGAGATTGCATAGCTTTTTTCGACTCTATGAAAGCTAAAAACCCTAAGTTGCCTTCATTTCTGTACGGCGAATCGCTTGGAGGTGCAATTTCGGTTCTTATTTGTTTAGAACAAAAATATGAATGGGATGGTTTGATTTTGAGTGGTTCAATGTGTGGTATTTCACCAAAGTTCAAGCCAATATGGCCCTTGGAGAAGCTCCTCCCTCTGGCTGCATTATTTGCACCATCTTGGAAAACAGTGGCCTCAAAGCCGGTGGCTAGCAAGTTATATAAGGAGGAGTGGAAGAGGAGACTGGTGGCGAGAAACCCTAATCGGCGGACGTCCGGGAAGCCGCCAGCTGCGACTGCAATGGAGTTTTTGAGGGTTTGTGAGTATATAAAGATGCATTGCCATGAGCTTGAGGTTCCATTTATAATGTTGCATGGAGAGGATGATACAGTTTGTGATTATGAATCTGCTAGGTTTGTTTATAAATCAGCTGTAAGTGAGGACAAAACTTTGAAAATTTTCTCGGGAATGTGGCATATTTTGGTGGGGGAGACTGAGGAGAATGTTGAGATTGTGTTTGGGAATGTGCTTTCATGGATGGAAGAGAGAGCAGCCAAAGCTAAAGCCAGAATGAAGTAACTAATTTCTTAGGTTTATTTGTTATATATTATTTAATGTTTGTATTTAAAAGAAAATGAAAATAATTTGTATGAATATGTAACTGCATGCATTAGGAAACGTGATTTTCCTATTTGCAGTTCATGTTCAAATAATTAATTGAATGTTCACTATTATCAAAAGCTAAATTATAAGTTGAAGAGGTTTGTTTTAAATAAGAAAAAAATGATTTAGAAAATGTTCAAGATCGATGATGCACTACACATTTGTTAAAAATATGAATTAAAATAAGTAAAAATATTAAGTTTTACAATAAGAATCGAGGTTACTAATTAATTATTGGTGTTTGTTTAATTAATTAACAAGTTATATGAGTTGACATTCAAATAACTACCTTCGTGCAAATCAATTTGATAACATGATTGTACTAATAGTTTCATGTAGAGGCTTAAGCAAGGATTAACTAATTTTTGTAAATAAAAATAAGACTAAACGACTTTTTCCCACCCAAGTTTTGCCTTAATTACACTTTTTCACCCAAAAAATTTCAAAATACTATTTTCCACCCAAAAAAAAATTCAAAATACTACTTTTCCACCCAAAGTTAATATTTCGTTATTTCCCAAAGTCGATTCCGACGGCAAAAATTCTTTCTATCACCACTATTTGAATCCTTGGTCTCCTCTCTACAAAACCTCTCTTACTCTGACACTTAATTTCTCGCTGATTGTTGGCCACCGTAAAGCTAGGGTTTCTTATTCTTAACTGATTCCAATGATGAATATTCAATCGATCATTACCATTAGATCCACTGACTTCCACTCTACAAAAATCCTCTTATCTTAACTCTTAGTAACTCATCAAATACCGACTAAGAAAGTGAAGTGTATTTTAGATATTAATAAAATATAAACATTGGGTGAACAAATAATATTTTGAAACTTTTTGAGTGAAAAATCTGTTTATTCATAAAAATAATTGTTGATACGTGAGTCATAGATGAAAGAACTTGCTCATCCAATTCAAATTCATCTTCTCACAAATGAAACCGCGTCAATAAATGTTCCCTAATCCTTACTTAACCCTTTAAATGAAACCAATCCTACTTAATCCATACATAAAACTTATTTATACAAATGAAAAATAAAAAATTAATCGAAATATATCACATAGCAATCGTGATAGATACCAGATTTTTCTATTTGTTTAATTTTTAGCCGTTGTTGGATTAAGTGTCAATTGAGTCATGCATTTATACATAATTTGTAGGAATTTAGTTTTATTATGAACGTTAAGAGTTATTGTATAAATAAGAGTCCTGCAGTGATTACAAGGCAGGCAGTTAGCGTATTAATAAAATCTGGGAGGTTTTGGTTCCCTTGAAGCAGCCAAACTTACGTTTCAGTGATAGGTCCAAAAGGCAAGAAACCCTCTTTTGAAAGATCCTGCAGTCTGTATATTCCAAGCTCACCTTAAAATCGGGGTTATCAGAGATTGCTAGGCAGGGATTTGAGGTGAGACATAACTTCTCTTTGAACTTGATCCCTTCTTATTTTCCCAGTTGTGGTGAGTGGAAATGGCTTACTCCATATGACAAATACTTTTGGTATTTTAAACCTGAAGGAGGAAAATTTAAATAGTAAATAATCCATGAATTTTCAATTCCTCCACATGCTGATTCTGGATAGACATGAAATAGAGGATTCTCTGCCCTCAAGATGAAACATAATTTAGAAGAAAATACCCGGTTAAATTATTTTCTAGGCAATGTTGTCTGAGAACTTCACTGGATAAATATAGCTGCTTATTTTCAGCAGGTTGCTCACTTTTTTTATCAGACCATTGCCGATTTTCTCTTAATTTGACACATGCAACCACCATCTCTGTCAGGCGGGTATCTGGGATTCCCACGACAAGGACTGCAATAACTCCTTGATGTCGTAATAGGATTGTCTCTATCTATTGTCAGAAAAAATTTACATTTCAGATCTTGAAAAATGACCAGAAATTTCGTAAAGAGATCAATTAACAACATGAAGATTTACCTCTTCAGGATAAATATTCTCCCCTCCACTCTTGATACGACCACTTCTTCGTCCAATTAGCCATACATTACCACAGTTATCGATGTGTCCAATGTCACCAGTGTCAAGCCAAGCCTCATCATCCGAGTCTGATGACTTTTCTGGATCATGATCCCAATATCTTTGCATTACATGTGGACCTCTTGTCAAAATTCTTCCGAAATTAGATGAGCCATCAATGCATATCTTTAATTCAATATGTGGTGCAGGCTTGCCAACACAAACACCTTGTGGTTGGTGAACGGAATTGCAATGTGTTTTACAGGATGTCTCCAGTAGCTGGCTGGGGGTTTCAATTGTAGGGTCATAGATGGTCGTGAAGGTTAGCGAAGAGCATGTCTCTGTCATCCCTGCATATAATACACAGAAAATATGAGCTAACAAGAGCAACCCACTACCAAATAGTGTAAGACAAGTTTGTAAGAAAAACAAGAATGTGTATATAATTCACTTTCAACAACTTCTATATACATACATGTTCTAATAAATTTAGACCATGCTCCCTAAGGGTGTTTAGTAAGACAAATTGAGTTAAGCTTATTGGAACGTGCAGTGAGGATGAATGAAGTCCTACAAGCATTGTAAGTTTAAAATGCTCTACCTTATCTAAACTATTGTAAAGACACAGAAGTTCTCATTGCTTAGAGGGCAGAGCAAACAAGGCCCTAGGATTATCAATTAAATCCACTTTGGCATGAGTGCATATATTTAATGTATCAATTATACAGATTGTGGCCTCTAGAAGTCATTACGCACTGAAGTAGCTTCCAGATTCCAAACAACTACTACAGTGTTACCTCAAAGATTATTTTAAAGCAGAATGTATTAGATCAACAGTGAAAGAAAAAAGTGGGACAAGCTAGACAAACCATAAGCTGAAAAAAGCTTAGCTTTAGGGAAATATTTGGTAGCATCTTTGATAAGCTCAACGGACAAACTCCCACCTCCATTTAGTATCTTCTTCACATTGTCCTTTCCCTTCCAAGTTTCCTTCTTCCTGACAAAAGTAAAATTATTAACAAAGGCAATCAACTACCTATTACAGATACAAAAACACCAGTATTATAACCTTTTGGTTCAAGCTGCGGGGGAACAATAACTATTTTAGAGTGGGAAATAGGTACAAGGCTTTAGAAGAGTATTCTAATAAATTACACTAGGCAGCAAGTAAAACATCACATAGATGATATAAAGGGTTGTGGGATGAAGAAAAAGGCTTAGAAGTATATATCTGCAAATTAGAAGTTTATATTCGTTCATGCCAAAACTTCAAGGAAAAACCATTTGTTTAGTAATGTGTACAGGTAAAAACATGATAAAATGCAATATTAAAGATAGTAGATCCATATTCTAAATTCAAACTACAGATTGTATGAAAAATAATGGATCAAATAACCAAAGACATTCTGAAACCTAGCACATCGTGATTGTTTCATGACTATTAGGATGCATTATTTACCTAATTAGGGTGATCAAATCTGCCATTATCGTGGGGACAGTGATTAGAGAAGTCACAGAGTGTTGTTCTATGGCTTCAACCGCCGACGTAGCTTCAAACTTGGGAAACAACACATGGCAACCTCCTACCATTAGCATGGCCATGGCTGAGGACAAACCACCAATGTGGCACAATGGAGCAGTATGCAAGTAAACCTGCAAATCCAACAGCATAAAGATGTAAAGGTCATCCTTGAGTTGTATCTACTGTTCAATCCTGCTCATATATGAAACTTCACTCAAGAAATTCTCAGCTCTTTATCCATCAGAATGATTACTTCATTGCAATATTCCTTCATTCATCCTAAATTTGAATATTTATTATATGAGGAAAGGCATACATCATCCTCACTGTAGCCAATGATGGCAATTTTTGCAAGAGATTGTACAACTAAAGCTGAATGGCTTATTGTAACTCCCTTCGGCCTTCCAGTGGTTCCTACAATAAAGAAACAATCAAGCCAAAATCCAATCTTCAAAGGTAGAATTTTGTGTGAGCTAAGGGCGTATGCGAGAAACTTGAAAGAAAATATCTAAAAGTCATGGCTTCACATTATACAGAATGGGTGCCACAATCTCTACATTTGTGAACATCACATTTCATTATCCCTTCCCAACTTAGTTAAAAGTGATCCTAAGAAATTTTGAATGTTGCAAGCTGTTGAAACTTTGTATGTATGAACAGTGAGGTTCAGGCCATAGCAATGCTAGGAAGATCCTCAAATTCTTTTATTATTTATTAGTTTCTAATGAAGTCCTTTGACCAAAATAAAAAATAAAAAAGTAATAATAAAGAAAATACTTTGCATGCTACAGATGATTAGAGAAGTCTGTAGCTAAAGCGTATTGAAGACAGAACATTGGAGAAGTTAACACCATATGGAATTTATTTTGTATCTAACACTCGAATTTCCCATTTTTATAATAGAATGTTGTAAATTCATGTAGAAAATTCTACATTCTGTTTGTTTAGCAACCTTAGTTTAAAAATGACTCTAAGGATAACAGGTGATCCTCCTGATCAAAAGTTAGGAAGAGCTGAAAGTTGAGGATAAGATATTAAGTAGAAACTATGGTCTCCAACATTATGAGCAGTAATAATTTACAAACTAAAAATCCTGCGAGCCTCAGAATTCTGAGCTAAAATACCAGTCCTTAGCATATCACAGCATTCTAATAGTGTTACCTTCTACAAGCTTTTTTCTTGTAAATGGCAGTTCCTTACTCTCACTGAGCAAGGACATGAAATAATTTTTCATCTTAGAAACTTGCACATGTACAAAGCATTCTTTGATAAGAAATTTACAAAACAGACAGTCGCATATCCATATCTGGCCTATACTGCCATCCTATTCATTTGCCTGAGGAACACAGGCTTTTGGAATACTTGGTGAAGATAAAAGCCATTCTTCCTTCAGCTTGCATTCATATGTGCTCTATGTGAATAATAGATCAGAAAAGAAGTAAACTTTTACCCGAAGTGAAGCATATTATAACAGTTCCCTCAGGTGCCCAGGAATAATTCAGTGGTGGAGATGTTAGACAGTGCTCCCTAATCATATCAGTAGTTAATACTGGCAAAATGAAGAAAACAACAATGACATTATTAGAAGCAAATTACTGAAAGTTTAGTTATCATATTAATTGAATATCTTATGTAAATATATGATCAATAGATTGCAAGGACATTACATACTGCTCCATATTCTCCTAAAACCCGACAATAGGGAGCCCAAAGACACATGCCACTTCAAAGAAGGTATGGCATTACTCTGCAGTTCTGAGTACCAATAGTTACAACTCTCATCAGTAACCAACATTACTGGCCTTATAGTTGTCATCGCTGACCTTGCTTCTTTGAAACTCTGCAAGTTGATAAGAAGCTGATATTAGATCTGCAGTAATGTACAAGGTTATTCTTATGCAAAGTTCACTTTTGTACCATCTCCCTTCATGTGAGACAACTACAATAGAGGATAATATATGAATTTCTCCTGTGGCCAGTTTAATTTCACAGAAGTTGGAAATGCTTATGACTTTATATCTGCTCTATCATATTCAGTTGGCAAAACCTAGATTACCATTTCCTTTCTCCTAGCTTAATTGCTTAAATGAAAATCATTTCATCCTTATCTAAATAATGTAAGTGATATGGGGAACATGTTGCATCAGTATATCATGTACTATTCTAAAAAAATAGTTTTCCATGCATTTGGAATAATTATGGCATCAATAAGAATATGTATATATTAATAAATGAATGAAAAAGCCAAAACATGGAAACTTTATTCTTATAAATTTCATATATACTGACTTAAAAGTTTATCAGATTCTGCATGCTAAATTCAGCAAAGCTTCTTGTTATAAATACTGGCTGGTATTTTGTATCTTGGTTCCCAAAATTGTAATTCTCTTGAATTTGGGTCAGTAATTGATGGACCTGGCATCTCTAAGTGGTATATGCGCAAGACAGGAAATAGGAAAAAGAGGCAAAAGGGGTAAATCACGTGGGGACAGGTGGCTTGGTAGTTTGTTGGAATCCTAATGTCAGAATAAAAGGGAGAGAAAAGTAGGAGTAGGGAATATCTGATTTTGTACATGAATTGTACCTGGGAGGTGCTGGCCCTCGAAAACCAGCTGGTGGTACTGTTTTATTCACTGAATATTATCACCCATATTTTCTATTTTAATCTGATTATCTGATTATATTGCTCTTATTTGTTGCTGTTTACTGGTTGTGTTCTCTGTGTGTGTGGATTATTGTGTTGTGTTGTGGTGATTTGCTGATATTTGGCGTGGTAACTGGAAGATTTAGGACTGGTATTCATCAGTGATATACATTAATTTCTATAGCTCATTCATTAAACTATTGGCACTTACACAATACACATGGTTACCAATTTGGCTCCAGGAAACCTCTTAACTTAATTCTATGCAGTGTCTGCCTTTTCAATTTAAGAATTTGTCGCAATGGAAATATCAAAATTGCCAAGTCAAACTGTAATCAAGGAATCAAATTACATTAAGAAAATTTTTTTATGAACCATGTACTAGCTGCACTGTAAAATACAGCATCAATGACATTCAAGTGTCTTAAAATTATTCTAAATGTCTAAGATATATGCAGTCAAGAAAATTCTCAAATATTTACATCTAACCACCCCAGGTTCTAGATGTTACCACCAAAGGAGCAATGTAATACTTACCCATCGATAATTTAAAGGAGCAACTATGCATCCAATGAATGCAACAGCAAGCAACCACTGTAAATACAAGTCACTGGAAAACCACAGTTTATGCTCATCAGAAATTAACAACAGAAATAGAAAATTACAAGGCAATCATTCCAAAAACTAACATGAAAGCAGAGCTCATTATATGCTTATAAAAGAGCTACCACCGAAGTGAGATAATGATGCGTAAAATAAATAGATCCGATCAATATATTATTGCTTATACTTTCACATTTACTCACCCCAATTAAGATGATTTAGGGTGAATTTGGAACATGCTGTTACACAATAAAAAATTAATATGAAATAAAAAAAAAAGGAAAGAAAGAAATGGAAGTTCTTTTTTTGAAGAATTACCTTATAATCACTTTTTAAAAGAGATTTTTATGACAAGAAAAGCATTTGAAATTCTAGCAGAGAAGCAATTAATAGATATATTTTTCTTAAAGAACTTCCAAATGTTATATCAAATAAACGTTCATATTAGGAAACACATTATGATAAGACACTTCCAAAAGCAGCCATATTCCTTGATTTCTAACTTCACAACCTTATTTTCAAATGTATACACCTTTTCTATTTTCTTGAAGAATAGCCTGATAAGTGCTATTTAACAAATTACTTTCTAATATTATTCCTGCCTATTCACACATTTGCTTAATTTAATTAATAAACAAGCAAAAGTAGCTCCTATTCAAGCTTGAAACCAATAATACTAACTCCTACTGCCAACAATAAACTTATTAAAATTCCTTTAAACATTACTCTGTAAACTTAAACGCCGCGTTTCGATTTCCAAAACAGAAAGCACTTTCCACAGTAATTCACCATTGCAAAACTTCCGATCGTTCTACTTTATCATTTCAGGAAAAAAAAAAAAAAAAAAAAAAACTGTTTTCAAAAACATGCTTTCGGGAATTGAGTAGCAAAAATTGGACCTGTTAAAAGCGGAGACAGCGACAATGTCACCGGAGCGGAGGCCGAGTTGAAGCAGTCCACGCGCCAAGGTCAACACGCCATGAACGAACTGCTCACCGGTTTTACGGCGGTTACCGGAGACGGTGACGACGGAATTCCGCTTGAGAGTAGCAAGGCGGCTCAAGCAGTGGCAAATGTGAGCCTGAGAGTAATTTAACATTGTGATTGGGGGTAAATCGGGAAAATTTTGGAAAATTCTGTTGAGAACAGAAGACTGAAGAGTAGAATGTGGCGTTAGTGTTTTTGAAAAGAAGAGTGGAGGTTGAAAGCGCGGCTTTTGTTATGTGGAATTGTGGATATTAAATCCTATCTAGTAGAGAGGACTGATGGAGTCACGGACCGGTGATTTTGGGTACGTCACAATGGAATTTTATTGGAGGATGTGATTACCAGCTATCTTATCTCACTCAATTATTTGACCAAATTGAATTAGAATTTAATAATCATTTTCTGAAAAAAAAAAAAATATATATCCTTAAAGCTTTCCCAGTTATACTTTGAGTGGAACAACGGAAAAAGAAATTTTGTATGGAAATGGGTAAGTAGCGCTCTGAAATGCTGTTCACCGGTCAAATTGTTGCATTTTGCATGCATCCCAGAAATTTCTATGTCTAAAGTGTAGGATGTAATCCTTTGAATGCATTCACAACAGGATGACAGAGAAAATTGAATCAAAGCATTTGAAAGATTAGTGTGCTCTCAAGGGGCACGGCCACAGCTTCCTTGAACAAGTAAGAGAAAGTGATCCCTAAAAAGAGAAGATAAATTTATACGTTATAAATCAAGTGACTTGATGGTAAGAGAATAAAAAGAGATCTTAAGAGTTTCTGAATTTAAGTCTCTCCAAACATTAATAGAGATAATCAGTAGAGTTTTTATTTGTTTGACATGACAGTTTTAAAACCTTGAAAGATTAGTTAAGGTATGCACAAACTAAACTGATTATAATTCTTCAAAAGTGACGATACATAATGTCCCATTCCACTAAACAGTTCAACGAAAGTAACATATAGCACAAGTCATGTGAGATTTAGCAGACATGGAACTGTCCAATTATCATTACATCCTAAATAAATTAAACAATGTTTGGTTTCATATTTCTGGAGCTTTATACATCTGATATAGCAGAAGAACACATAAAGGGCGTGTTTATTTCACAGTTTTCCAAAGGAATGGGCAAGGGAATGCCCATTCCCTTGTTTATTTTGGCAAATGCGGGAATGGGTATTCTAAGGGCAAAGAATGGGTCGGAATTCTATCCTTGTCCCTATTTCAAACAAATATTCCTATTATACCCTTTAATTATTTTATTAAATATTTAAATATATTATAATTTAATTATTAAATAAAAATAATTTCTTATTAAAAAATTTTATTTAAAAAATATAAGTAATTATTTAAAAAATAAAAATTCCAAATTTTCAGAATTACTCAACGCCGGTCAAAGTTCCCGGACGGCAACGTTCCTTCACGCTTCCGGCGTCACAGCTGGCACATGAAGGCTTTCCGTCCGTCGATCTCCCAGCCTTGGCGGAAAAAAGGCCGCCGCCTGTCGGAGAATGGACGTCAATCGCGGCGACGGAAGATACGGCAGCCGTGCATGACGTCCAAACGCCAGTAAACACCTCTGAAGAAAATTACACAGGGCATCATGCATTGAGAGACGCTAAAGCGTGGTCAAATTTTGTTAAAGGATATTTCAGAAACATCAATCCAACAAGTTCAACGCATGAAACAACAACCAATACCCAATTAATTATTGGCATGTAAAATACGCACATAAAATCGGCAATGAATGGTTTAATACGCGTTAGATTTAGTATTCAACCATCAATATAACAAACCCAGAAACACTGACCCAGTCCAAAAATTCAAACAAAAATAATCAAACCAGTAAGAGAAGCCCAGTTCGAAAATTCAAACCAAATAATCAAACCAGTGGCAGAAACCCAGTTGAAAAATTCAAACAAAATAATACAAAACCAGTAAGAGAAACCCAGTTCAAAAAATTCAAACAAAATAAACATCCAGAAACAAGAAACACAGTTCAAAAATCCAAACCCAGAAAGAGAAATTAAAAAAGAAATTTATACCTCGAGAAACAGAATCCCAGTTCAAAGGAGAAAGATGAAAAAAAATTTGGACCATTTCTCGATTTGTGCGTGTCATCCTTGCGCAGGGGCCATGCTAATCTTCTCTGTATCGTTCCAATTTTATCGGATGTCTCCGAAGAGACAATACGCCATGGTCTTCTCTTTATTTATAAATAACTATACTGTTTCTCAACTATACGATGTGGGATAGTCCGTTTCCAATTTGATGACTGGTTTGACACGTCACGTGACGTATTGACTTTCCAAGAGAACGGGTAATAGGACTGGTACCCGGGTTGTTAATGTTGGGCCGAGATCCCCACAATGCTATATTATGTAATTAAATTTATTAATTTCATCTCTGTAATTAAATTGTTCCCTTTCAGGGAATTTATTTTTTGTAATATATTTAATGCATTCATTAATTGGTAAGATTTCTTGTAACTGTACAAAGTAGTTTAGAACCTAATAATCACACCAAATGTAGACACAATAAACTTTATTTAAATTAATGACACATTTTCAGTTTAAAACTATTTTTGTGAAAACAAATATTTTATCTAGAAGTATTTGCGAAAATTATTTAATTAAGAATTAATAATCAAGATTAGACTAGTTAAGAAATATCCATTCAAACTAACAATTTCTAACTAAATCCCAATTATTATTATTATTTTACAATTGAATTACGAGTGAATTATTTATTTTCTCTTAACGTGTATGAATGAATTAGCAGTTTTATCTTTATGTAGGTTAACGTCAGTTAGAATTACGGGTATTTATCCTAGACCTAGTAAATAAACGGTAGAATCTAGACTATAATAGACCCAAACCTAGGAGAGTAAATACAATTATCTCTAAATTAAATCTAAAAAAGTTTTTGTTCTATATATTATATTTGATAAATCTGAAATGAGAGATATAAATTAATTTACATATATTTCTATTGAATTTTAAAAGAACTTATGGAATTTATAATTTCTAGTTACAAAAAGTTATTGATTTCTCATGTTTAACAAAATATTTTAGCAAATATTTTCTTAATAATAGTAGCGACTGACCGGGCAATCTCTTATAATCAAGAAACATATTGAGGGCTTAAAATATTTTACGGGGTATTGGAGATAGAGTGTAAACTATAGGGTCCTCATAGATATTTACATAACGCTCAAAAGTCACTCATATACATTGACTTGGCATAGTCTTCGTTTCAGTGTCCCGTTTTTCCCATTTTCTCCACAGCTTGTTCGACTTAAAATTTCATGGTGGATTCGTCGTTAGATCTGGTTACATTATTTGCTTGGAATGAAAAACTTCTACCATCTTTGTGTTTTTGAGCTGATTTGCTAAGTAAGTATATATTAACTTTTACATATTTTGTTTGCTTGAAATTTGTATTGGATTTTTCTGGATTTGAAGTTTATATTGTCTCCTTGAGTCAATTTTATATTGTTTGGTGGAAGTTTAAGTAGAGAAAAAAATAAATGGATTTAATGCAACCCCATACTTCGATTAATTTGATGCAAATGCCATTTATATATCGAGTTACCATTAATTTATTATTTATTGTATTTTCTACATTTTAATTTTAATTAAGAATTAAATGAGCTTTTTTGTGTTTTAATTAATTAAGAATTAATTGAATGATTTATTCGTATGATTTATATACTTATTATTCTATGTTTTTTAGCATTTATGCTTCATGACATAATTTAATATTCATATTATGTTGTTATACTTAATAATATACAAAACCTAGGCTATGTTTTTGTAGGAGTGATTCATATTCGCAATAGCACTTTGTCCTATGGAATGAACAACTTTCTCGTAGTATTCTTACTAAGTTTAAATTTTTTGGTAGTCTATCAGATTTATTGTTACAGGTCTTATTTAAATGTATTATTTTTACTGGGTATTATATATGTCTTCACAAGATAGTTGAGCAAGGAAAAACGATGGATCAGTGGAAGAAGCTTAGTGGCGCTGAGAACTGGAATGGTCTCTTGGAACCTCGTGACAAAGATCTGGAAAATCTTTTAAGTCTCTGTATTGAAAGTATTGAAGTTATTCCTGACTCCGTTAGCCATCATGATAAAAGAAAACCAGCCCATCAAGAGAAAGATTTATTCTCTGAAATGGGAAAAAAAGAATTGGAAAAGTTATACACTGTGACTCACTATATATATGCAAGGTCAGATGTTCCTTCCTTGGTTAATCGGATTGTTAAAGACAAATCTGCTTGGATTGGTTATGTGGCTGTAGCCACAGACCATGGAAAGGAAGTGCTAGGAAGAAGAGACATTTTGATTTGTTGGAGAGGAACTAATTCTAAGACCGAATGGCTCAAAGATTTTGAATGCAGTTTGATCTCAGCGTCAGAAATTTTTGGGAAAACCCATAATCCACATGTGCACAAAGGATTCCTCTCCCTCTACAAGTCACCAAATATTGAACCACCCTCGTACAATAAGTGGAGTGCCAGACAACAGGTAATTTTTTATTTTTTCTGATAAATCATAATTTTTATTACTTCTAATACATAATCCACTAGTTGATATATGCTTTCATTATTGGTGTATAAATGTTTAGGTGTTGCATGCAGTTAAGACACTGGTGAATAAGGTTAATTACAGAGATGAGGAAATCAGTATAACTGTAACAGGTCACAGTCTTGGCGCAGCGCTTGCCACATTGAGCGCAACTGACATAGTTGCCAATAAGCATAATAGGCGCGCTGGATCAGACAAAGTATGCATGGTCACGGCCTTCGTGTTTGCGACCCCCAAGGTTGGAGATAAAGGATTCAGGGACGTATTCGATCAACTCAGCGAACTTCATCTGTTGCGTATTAAAAATAAATTGGACGTTGTACCTAAACTTCCTCCTTTCCCTGCCTATGAACACGTGGGAATAAAGTTAAAGATTAAGAGTTACAAGGAACTGTTATCGAAACTTAAGGAAGGGCTTCATTTTCATGGTTTGAAGCAGCATCTGGTTGGACTTGGACGAACCACGAGGTCCATGTTTCACAGGTAATTATCTTCTAAAATGCTATCTTCGATTGGCATTTAGGAAACCATTTCACTCGTGAAGGAATAGTTAATCCTCCCTGCGCCTAATGAACAGGGGAGGAGTCAGATTCAGGTTTCCTTTACTGTTCAATCAATTAGCTTTGTTTACTGTGTTGTGTTGTGCTGTTGGTTTTGTCTCTGTTTCCCAAGTCTTTTATCAATGTACATAGAGACGACTCTCTTAAGACGGGAATTAGAAAAATTATAACTTATTACAATGTGAAGTTTATTCTTATTTATAACTATCTCAAGTTAGGTTTAAAATTTTGAGGTTATTCTCATATAATGTATCACTGTAACTAGAGAGGTTTTACTGTATTTCTTGTCAAATAGGTAGCCTATCGAAGAAAATTAAAAGTTGTCTAATTAAGAATATTCAAATTTTTACATCTAATTTTGTTGAAATGTCATTGAATTAAATAAATAAACATACATATATGTCAAATTTGAATGTCAATTGGTGAATTTTGTAAAAAAATCAAGTTACATGTTATAAATTAATTAGATTTTTATAAGCCCCCCAAAAGTAAATTAAATAGGAGAAATACTTAATCCGGCCACCATGAGTCTATTGTCTAATAATCAAGATCCTACCTTTCAAATACTAAGAAATATAATAATTGTTAATCAAATTTTAAACTCTTTTTTTTTTTTTTTTTTTTTTTTTTTTAGTGAATTATCTGTTTTGTCCTTACATGTATGAGTGAATTATCAATTTTATCTTTACGTGGGTTAACGCCGGTTAGTACATAAACTACAGAATCTAAATTGCAATAGACCCAAACCTAGAAGAGTGAATACAATTATCTCTAAATTAAATCTTAATGAAAATAGAATCAACATGAAACCTTGAACAAGTACAAACATAAGATTTCACCTGCAAATCTCACCCTTAATGTAGGCATGGAATCGGTTGGGGGGGGTGGGCGGGGATCTCAGTCACTGTACCCATCCCCGCCCTCAAAATCACTCCCCACCCCCGTTACGGTAATGACAGAAATTCTCCTTCTCCGTCCCAAAGGGGAATGTTGGAGGCCCGTCCTCGCTCTGTTAATTTTACATGAACATAAATTAATTTGAGCATTACCAAACACAATAGTTAATTCTTGTTTACATGACAAATACTTAAATTAATTGTTTAAACATAGTTAATTTTACATAAATATGGGTTAAGGTTGTTCTTGTTCAATTGTTTAGGGTGAGAAAAATTGGGAAAATATGGGTTTATATAGATAAGATAGATAAGATAGTTGTGTAATTAGGTGAAATGTAGGGGAATTAGGGAAAAGCAATATATATATATATATATATATAATTTTTAATTTTATATATTATATATGGGGCAAGGCAGGGGAAAGGCATCACCCACCACCGCCCCACCCCGAGGAACGGGATTAAAAGGCCCCTCACCCCCACCCTTATCCTTAAAAACCAAGGCTTCCCCACCCCATATAGGGCGGGACGGGACGGGTCCCCGAAATTCCGAGGAACATTACCATGCCTACCTTAATGTTAAAATTGACATGCCTTATTCCTCAAAACTAAACTATAAACAAACAGTTTCTCAAATTAAAATATACAAACATCTTGGAGCTCAACTTCTCATACATATTTACTACATAGTTATTATTTAGTGATCTTTTTGATCTCTCTAGCTACAAAATGTCAGGATTTGAAGAAGAAAATCAAACACAAAGAGCTTTCGGATGGGCAGCTTCCGACTCTTTAGGAATTCTTCATCCTGTCTATTTCACTAGAAGGTGCATGGATGCCCCAACATTTTTCTTTGTTATTTCTTACCATTCATTTTCTCTATAATTTTGTTTTGCAATTAAGTATGCAGGCCCAATGGTGAGAATGATATAACACTCAAGATTCTTTAATGTGGGATTTGTGGAACTGATCTTGACATTGTCAATAATACTTATGGAATTTCTCTCTATCCCGTCCTCCCCGGGTAAATTAAATTAATTATTACCCTCTCTTTCATTACCCATCATCAAATTTCGTTACACTCTGAAGAATAGTTGTATTATTACAGAGATGAGATTGTGGGAGAGGTGATCCAAGTGGGGGCCAAAGTGCAAAAATTTAAAGTTGGAGATAAGGCAGTAGTGGGTTGTTTTATAGGTGCATGTGGCAGCTGCGATGGTTGCCAAAACGACTTGGAAAGCTATTGCCCTAAGAGCATCACCACCTACACAATCTTTGACAATGGAGGAGATAAAAACTACGGCGGATATTCAGACACTCCTGTTGTTGATCAACACTTTGCAGTTCACATACCTGAAAATCTGGCATTAGAGGGAGTTGCTCCGTNCTAACCCAGGGGGATACCCCTTCCAGGATAATTCCAGTTTCACAAAATGCTGCGGGGGATATCTCGACAGCTTCGCAGCTTGACCCCGTCATCAGAAGCTACCTGGAGAGGTTCGACAATACTCTCCAGACGGTCAACCAGAGGCTGGACCGTTTGGACCAAGGCATGTCATCTACAACAGCTGGGGCGGTGCAACCGCCAAAAACGCCTGCAGGTCGCGCGAAAGCGCGGCAAAGGGAATAAGCCCGTGCCACGAGCACTGCAGCGCGTAGACGTAAGGGTAAGCAAGTGGCAAAAAGTAAGCCTACGGGCTCCCAAGGACCAGCGAACACAAACTGTGCCCCGAGCAGGGTGCCGGCAAAGCTGAGACTCGGCAAAAAAGTGAATCCTGAGCTGTCCCATGCCACGTCGCAGGTGAACCCAAGCAAAGGTGCCAGGCGTGACGATTCCTATCATCGCCAGTAGAATGATCCCGATCGCTATCATGTGGGTGGTCCCCACACCTCGCGGGGCGGTTTGTACCACCGCGAGGGTCATGAAAATGCCCCGCACAATCCATCGCCTTCACACGCCTCTAGTCAGCGTGTGTCGAGTGCGGCCGGAAATGCCAGCCGAGGCGAAGAGGAGTTCGACCTCCGGACTTTCCTGAATCGTAATCGCGAAGGCCGGACTCACATGGGTGAAAGCAATCCCCAATTGGCTCCGTTACCACAAATTGAGGAGCTACAGCGAGCTCTAGACAGGTTAAGGGAGCAGCAAAACGAACAGGCCTAGGTCGCCTCTGCATCCCCTTTCTCTCCCGAAGTGCTAGCTGCTCCATTCCCACCGGGGTTCAGGATGCCCAACATGCGACCGTTTGATGGGAACCATGACCCACTGGATCATTTGTATGAGTTCAACGACCTGATGGAGCTCTACAAGGTTTCAGACCTTGCAAAATATCGTTGTTTGGCCTGACGCTGACTTCTCACGCCAAGCGGTGGTTAAGGTCGCTCCCAGCGGGATCGATAAGTTCGTGGCCTCAGATGAGCACGACGTTCCTACGGCATTTCCAAGCAAATCGGAAGTTTTCGATGCCTTTGAGCTACCTCAGCAACATAAGGCAAGAAAGAGACAAATCCCTGCAATCTTATATTGACCGTTTCCACAGGGAACTCAACAAGGTGGCTCATGCCCCAGAAGAGTCCATCCGAACACTTATAATAGTTGGAGTTCGCCCGCAAACCGACCTGTGGAAAGAACTGCAGGCTGAGGATGATGTTTCCCTCACCAGATTTTACAACCTTGCAGAAAAATATCTCCGAATAGAGAATTCATTGGCGGCACTCCGCTGTCGCGATCACGGCACTTCAAGCAGTATGTCTGGTCAGGGAGAAAATAGGAGAGCTGATCGCAAAGGAGACATTGATGATCAGCAAAAAGGGAAGAAACCTTGCTACGAACACAAGAAGTCCTATGCTCATGTTCCTTGTCGCGACCGGGACAGAGCTTAATACACTCCGCTGAACGTGTCCATATCTGCAATCCTTGACAAATCCGAGGAGGCCAGCTTGCTCGGTGAACCAGAACCCATGAAAACCCCTGCTACGGCTAGAAACAGCAAAAAATACTGCCGTTTTCATCGGGATAACGGGCATTACACTGATGAATGCCGAGCTTTAAAGCAGACAATCGAGGAGCTCATCAAGAAAGGGCATTTCAAAGAGTATATTGATGACTCTCCAAAAGAGAACCAAGGGGAACAGAAGAAAAAGCGTCGTGATTGTAGCAGATACAGTAGTGTTAACATAATCTTCGAAGGCCTCACACAAGGTCCGCAGGAAAGGTACGCTCACGAAGCATATCACGACCCGATCAGGGTAATGAACACTTCGCAGCGACCGCAGAAGGCTCGAAAGGAGGAGCCGATCACCTTCTGCAAAAAGGAAGCAGCTCGCTTGCACTATCCTCACGAGGACGCCCTGGTGATCACGCCCCTGATAGGGTGCCATAACGTCTGCAGAATGCTTGTGGACAATGGAAGCGTTGTGAACATCCTGTTCAAGACCGCTTTTGATAGAATGAACCTAGACGAGGCCGACTTGAAGCCCGCTTCGATACCTCTTTACGGTTTTAAAGGGGACCACCTGATCCCCAAAGGGACGATCCAGCTACCAGTCACGCTCGGTGACTACGATGAGGTGACCAGGGTTATCGAATTTTTGGTCGTGGATTGCCCATCGGCCTTTAATGGAATCTTGGGCGACCTCTGTTGAGAAGCTTCAAGGCAGTCACTTCCATATATTATCTCAAGATGAAGTTCCCCACTCCAACGGGGATAGGGGAAGTGAGCGGATCGCAGAGCGCATCTCGCGAATGCTACGTAAAAGCAGTGCAGATGGTAGGTAAGGGAAAGGGCATTTCACGATGTGTGCCTCGCCAGGCTATGGCGATCAGCCGGATCGAGCCACAGCCTGGTCCGACAGAGGATAGCATAGATCCGCGAGTCCAGGAAATCCCTCTTAGCGGCCTGGTTGAGGATCTGTCCTAAATTTCGGTTGATCCAAAAGAGTCGAGCCGAGTGTTAAGGATTGGAAGCTGTCTCAACCCTCAGCTCGCTTCCGAACTGATAAGCTTCTTAAGGGAAAACATTGACGTATTTGCCTGGTCGCATGCAGATATGGTCGGGGTCAGCCCGGACATTATTTGCCATTCATTAAACGTCAGCAGTGAAGCCAAACCGGTTCGCCAGAAAAGAAGAACGATAGATCCGGAGCGGTACGCTGCACTGAAATCAGAAGTGAAAAACCTCTTCCGAAATGGGTCCATCCGAGAGGCTCTCTACCCGACCTGGGTTGCCAACCCGGTCCTGGTAAAGAAGCCAAACGGCAAGTGGTGGACCTGCGTTGACTTCAGTGACCTCAACAAGGCTTGCCCAAAAGACAGCTTCCCTCTGTCGAGAATCGACCAGCTCGTTGATGCCACCTCGGAACACGAGCTGCTAAGCTTCATGGATGCGTACTCGGGATATAATCAAATCCCGATGTATAGGCCAGACGAGGAGCATACGTCTTTCATTACGAACCGGGGGCTGTACTGTTACAAAGTCATGCCTTTCGGCCTCAAGAATGCCGGCGCAACCTACCAGCGGCTAGTTAACTGAATGTTCTCCGACCAGATCGGAAAGACAATGGAGGTCTATGTGGATGACATGCTGGTCAAATCCCAGGTCACCTCAAAACACATTGCACATCTCGCTGAGATGTTTGACATCCTCTGACTGTATAGAATGAAGCTAAACCCTCTCAAGTGTTCATACGGGGTATCGCCAGGAAAGTTCCTAGGGTATATGGTTAATCAGCGGGGCATAGAAATAAACCCCGAGAAGATCCAAGCTCTGCTCGATGTGGAGAGCTCGACCAGCAAAAAGCAGGTCATGAGTCTAAATGGGCGAATAACAGCACTTAGTCGCTTCATATCGAGATTAACAGACCGCTGCTTACCATTTTTCAATGTTCTGAAGGCCAACAAAAAATTCGAATGGACTCCCGAATGCGAACAGGCGTTCCGGAGTATAAAAGAACACTTAGGGAAGCCACCTCTCCTCTCTATGCCTCTTCCGCAGAAAATCCTGCTCATCTACCTATCCGTCTCTCAGTTTGCGGTCAGTGCAGCTCTAGTACGGGAAGAGGAAAATGCGCAGTGGCTAGTGTACTATGCAAGCAAGCATCTATCGGATGCCGAGATGTGGTATCCAGAAATGGAGCGACTAGCCTTTGCTCTGCTGATTGCATCCAGAAAGCTGTGACCTTACTTCCACGCCCACACGATCCACGTAATGACTAATTATCCCCTCAGGCAGGTCCTCCAGAAACCAGAAGCCTCGGGTAAACTGCTCAAATGGGCCATGTAAAAATAGCGACTAGCCTTTGCTCTGCTGATTGCATCCAGAAAGCTGTGACCTTACTTCCACGCCCATACGATCCACGTAATGACTAATTACCCCCTCAGGCAAGTCCTCCAGAAACCAGAAGCCTCGGGTAAACTGCTCAAATGGGTCATGGAACTAAGCCAGTTCAACCTGAAGTACAAGCCCAAGTCGACCATTAAAGGGCAAGCTGTTGCTTACTTCATCTTAGAATTTTCCTATCTTCCAAGCGAGCAACAGCCTGGCGAAGCCATCCAGGAAAGTATTCGGAACCTGTCGACCTGGAACCTTTATGTCGACGGGTCAGCAAACAGAAAAAAAGTCGGTGCGGGTCTTCTCCTTGTAGGCCCCGAAGGGACTCGAATCCATAGTATTCTCCGGTTCGGGTTTAAAGCGACCAACAATGAGGCTGAGTATGAAGCCCTGCTTGTCGGGCTGTGACTTGCCAAAGAAATTGGTGCAACCGCGATAAGCATTTACAGCGACTCCATGTTGGTCGTCAACCAAATTTTAGGGGAATACCAAGCCAAGGAAGAGAACATGGTCCGCTATCTGAAAGAAGCTAAGACCGTTCTTGGGTCGTTCAAGCACTTTGAAATCACTCAGATTCCCAGAGATAGCAATTCTATAACAGACGCCCTAGCAAAGATAGAACCAGTAACTGAACCGAAAAACTGGTTAATCGAAAAAACGGTTCGATTACGGTTTGAAAAATTTTAAAAACTGTATTTCCGGTTTGGAAAAAATAAAAAGCGGTTAACCGAAACCGGTTTTTTGAACCGATTTTACAAATATATATATAATATATATTAAATAAAAATAAAAATTATATATTAAATAAAATAATTATATATTATATATTAAATAAAATAATATTAATATTTTTAATGTATTGTTAGTAGTAGTCAATAGATATGTATGAATGTTTAATTTTTATTTGGATATGTATTGTTTATATTTACAATTTAATTTAGGAAAAAATAAAAAAAAAGTTTTATAAAAAAAAGGGAAAACCGATTCAAAACTGATTAATCGGTTTTTCCTCCAAACTAGTTCGGTTTCTATTCAGAAATTTTTTCGAACAGA